GCGAGGGTGGTAAAATCAAATTTTCGAAAAAAAAATTGGCAAAAAATGCGCGCGACGGCGGCGCTCGGTTCGCACGTTATATCCGCCGCGAAGGACCAGCCGGGAAAAAAGTACGGCGTACTTACAATAGTAAATTTAGCGGGGAACGCGAATAAGGTCAGAATGGGGCGCCCCGAAGCGGCGCGGGGGGGCAAGAGTCGAAAATGTTGAAAAAAATCGTGAATTTCGAGAAAAACGGTGAAAAGCGATAAGGAGGAGTGATAACGCAGCGACGGCTCCGCCGCCGCCGGGAGACCGCCCACGTCGGGAAATCTAATTTTCTCATTGGCTCTCCCTCCGATGGTTCTTATTTAACCCATAGGTGGCGCCTCACGTATTCACGCTTTATATAGTATAGATAGACTAGCTCTAAGTATAACTCAGGGCTCGTTGGACTCGATGAGAGTGGATACCGATTTTGGAGATGTTGTTGGAATTATAAAATTCGCAAAGGTTGTAAGACGAAAGTTTAGGATTTGTGATAAGGAGTAGAATTGGATTGAAAATAAGGCTTGGCGCTTTGGTGGGAATGTTTAAAAGTTTGAGCGTCTAGCAATCCGTCACGAACATTGTAAGTAGATACGATCTCCAGGATCTCTATACGTTCGTCAGCTGCTTTTGGTTGTTGAAATCGTTAAAAAGTGTAGAGCCGATATGTGTATTTGATTGTCTAGCTATCAGTCATCAAATAACATAAGTAAGCAATTTGAGAAGCGTATATTACCAGGTATGCACTCCACCTGCGGTGGATTGCGGACCCTATTAGTTACGTACATTAGTGAATTATCAAAAATATGGATTGGAGATAAGGCTTAGCGCTTTGGTGGGAATGTTTAAAAGTTTGAGCGTCTAGCAATCCGTCACGAACATTGTAAGTAGATACGATCTCCAGGATCTCTATACGTTTGTCAGCTGCTTTTAGTTGTTGAAATCGTTAAAAAGTGTAGAGCCGATATGTGTATTTGATTGTCTAGCTATCGGTCATCAAATAACATAAGTAAGCAATATGAGAACCGTATATTATTAGGTATGCACTCCACCTGCGGTGGATTGCGGACCCCGCTGGTTGCGTAGATTAGTGAATAATCAAAAATATAGATTCTAGTTGGCCCATGAGACTCGCTGAATTTGGGGGTACCGATTTTAGAATAAGAGTCGGTTAAATTATAAAAGTAGCGGCAGTCGTAAGATGAAAGTTTAGGATTTGTGATAAGAATTAGTGATATGGATTGGAGATAAGGCTTGGCGCATTGGCGGGAATGTTTAAAAGTTTGAGTGTCTAGCTATCAGTCATCAACGGTGTAACTACGCATAATATTTTCTGTTTTTTGTGGCTTTTGGGTCTGTCCAAAAGTTTGAAGTCAAAAAAAACCATACACCTAATCGATTTTCTAAACTATCAGCGCACTTTGTTCAACGTGTAATTATGATCCATAGGGCACAAACCCTTTTTGTAAGTAAAAAAGTGTACGTCGATAATTCGATTATTAAGTCGATATTTATGAAGTTAAATTACAGTTATACACATTATAATATATTTTAGATTCTGAGTGGAACGATGAATGTATTGATTTTACAATGATGTGTGTTTTTTTTTATTTTTTATTTTTTATTTTTTTGTGTCTGTGTACATGATAAGTAGGTAGTAAAAATAATGCTTTGATTTTCAACTTCAGTATCTTGTTCGATTGGAAAGAGAATGTAGTTGGTGCATTGGGAGGTCAAAATTTAAAATTCCCAGTAATTTTCTAAAGCGCTAAGAAAAACCAAAGAAAAATTAAGGAAAAACGGGAATTTTTACGCAAAATTAAATTTGGTTTTTGGTGTAACTTTAAAAAATGACCGTAGATACATGAAATTTACACTGGTTGTTTATATTTGCATTTTCTATACACGATAACATTTTCAAAATATTTTGATAAACATCAATAACATTTTATTTGTTGGTTGCGAGAGCTTGAAAATTTTATAGAAGGCTCCTAGTATATTGTTTCAAAGGCAGATGAAAAATATTAAAAATCCTTAGTCACAATTTTTTTTATAAGCATTTAAAGTTCAAAAATTGACAAAATATGGAAAAATCACTAAAATTAGCAAATTATTTTGAGTTAAGAATTCATAAAAATTTTTCTTTTTAAATCTAAGATTTGAAAATGTAATACAAGATGACTCATAAGTTTGACTACCTTTAACAATAAAAAAATCTCTACCGGAAAGTCAAATTAAATTTTTATGAGCGTTTGAAATTCAAATTTTTAGATCATTGGATATTCACTCGATTTCTCATGTAGCGATTTCCTTATTTTGTTGTAATTCAAAAACGAATAATTGTAGATGCATGAAAACTTCACTGAATGTTCATATTAGCATTTCCTATACACTGCATAATTTTTGAAATATTTTGACTCTTTTTGAGCTGTTTACGGACATTTTCAGTTTTCAATTTTTTTAGTTTTTTTTTCTATAAATATCAATAAAGTTTTATCCGTTGGGCCAAAAAGTGTAAAAATTTAATACAAGGCTCCTGATATATTGTTACAATAGCAATTGAAAAATATTAAAAATACATTCCCACAATTTTTTTTTATAAGCATTTAAAGATAGAATTTTGACAAAATTTATCAAAATGTTGAAAATTATCAATCATTGTAATTAATAAATTATAAAATGTTCAGTTTTTATAGCTAAGAATTGCAAAATTAAAACAAAGGTTCTCATAAATAGTTCATACTGTAACCAAAAAATCTATAAAATACACAAGCACAGTTTATTTTTAGTCATTTCAAGTTAAAGTTAAAATTTGGACGAAATTACGAAATTGTTGTGATTGAATAATATCATTATCCGTGGGTACTTGAAACTTCTAAAGTGTACTATTATATATCTATGATATTATCACGGTTTTTGTTGATGTATAACGCGTTATAAGTACCTAATGGATATTGTGATATGATTAATTTGGAATTTATTATGTATATAATATGTCTTATACCTAGATGACATACCGTCTCCGCTGAGAATCTTTTTTCTTATACAATGATATTATATCGTTGAATTCAAATTTAATATCATCCATTGTACAGTGACCCACTTGTAACCTACTGTACAGCAGAGGGACATCCACTGCCCATCTTTTTTACATACAGACATGTAATTAGTAAATTTAAAAAAAATTTTATCTACGTAAAGAAATCTGTGTATAATAAATAACAATGAAATTTGGTATAATAATTTTAAAAAAAGTTAACAATACATACACATAAGGTAAATATATAGGTATTATGACTTAAGTATAATTTGTATAATAACGTAAGGAAATCGAAAAAAAACATGTTTACCTACGTAAATACATAGTATATTATAATACATAAAAAATTAAATATGGTAGATTACTTAAAAATTTAAAAATTAAACTTACATACACAAAGTAAAGTTAAAATAATAATAATATTAAAGAGAAAAGATCGGAAATTTGTAAAATTACGGAAAAAAAATGCAAAAAAAGTCAGGATTCTGGCGGCCGTGTTAACCATATGGCATTGACGGCAATGAAACGCGGAGGGCCGTACGACGGATTCGAACCCGGTACCTACGTGTTATCTACCTAACGCCTAACCTACTCGGACACAATTTGAGATGTGATATTCGGTCAAAACATCAACAATTAAGCCGTGGGTCTACGGAGCGACGTAATCCGATAAATTCGATGTACATCGACGTAATCGCATATAATTCGCTTGTAATACGCGCATCTCCCACATATATATTTAACGGAGCGCGTGAAAAGCGTTTTCCGTTAATAATTATTAAATCAATAGGAAAAAATTTAAATTATACACGTATATACACACACATAGAAAAATTGTTGTTGTTTTAACAATTGTTACATTGTTAACAGTATAATTGTAGACTTACGTAGATTTTTTAGTTGAATTAATGCCAAAAAGGGGTACATTTAAATACATTTGCTCAGCAACAAATTATCTTAAAATAGCAATAGTGATATTGTAATTTTAAAGAAGTTATATTGTTAATCTGAACTTAATTATGTCAATACAACTCCATAGTTTCTTAAAATAAGAAAAATATGTAGTTATTTTAGCAATTTACTAGTTTGATTTCATAACAATTTTAAATTGTGTTTAATTTACTATTTTTTGTTGTTAGTATAACACTAAAAGTGTTGTTTTAATTATTGTCTGTTGTTATCGTGGCAGAAAATATATTTTTATTTACAAGAATATCCGTAATTTTTGGTTTTTCCTGGTAGCGGCACATATCCGTACAAATATAACTATAAATACCTACTCAGTATTTTAATCATCGTGCTATGTTTGACCGGCGACCGCTTACCGCACGAATAACTTGTGCCTTGTGTTACTAACACATGTGTTTAGTGTTACGTATTTTGTAGTTTTGTGCAGCGTTGTTTTTAGCCGTTCGCCATTGATCAGTTTATATTTAATATTTTACATTTTCTGTGCATCGAAATCTCTACATTGTTCCTGCTGTTTAAAAAAATGGATCAAGATCTGCAGTTTATACATACTACAGATGAGGTACGTAACGCTTAATTATTCGATATATTTATTATAGTAGATGTTAAATTAAAGTTGGAGCTTGTGTCAGTCCGACATCCCAATTTATTTGTTCTAACATTACTGATTGCATTTAATAATACCACCATATACCTACCAATTTAGTTATTTTCATAAAGCAATGGCCAAAATTGTGCATTTAAATAGTAACTAGGTATTTTTTTTTTTTGTATTTTGTTATTAGGAATATCAGATACTTAGTAATATTTATCCATTTAACGTAAGTATAGAACAGAATGTTGTAGATCAGAGTTCAAGTCTCGAAGATATTTCATACAGTACAGTTAAAAAAACTCTTCAAAAGAAATCAATATTTCTACCCCATACTCACTTCCTCATACAAAATTTGGTTATTATAAACCGATGGAATGGACAATTGAAGTAAAATAATGACATTTAATATATCTGAAATAATTTGTAGGTATCTTGTTTGTTTTAAAATGAATAAAATATGTTGTTATAGACTATATTAAATCTATTGCATACAACCAATGATGGTCGGTGTGTACTAGCTGACGGTAAAAAAAATAATGGATACCTCTCTGATGATGCTCAAAACTTAATTACGCAGTTATTAATTAATCATCTTTTGCAGGATCAAAGCAAGTATGTTTAGTGTCATTTTGTTAGCTATTTTGGTCAGTCACTTTCAGCCTCTTATTAATTAATGTGGTGAAATTCTGCTTAAATTAAATACTTTAAGTTCTATTAAAAATAATATTTTTATTGACCATAATGTGGTTTAAATTTATGATAAATTATGTAAAAAAAAAATGTAGGTATGCCATTATAATATTGTTACTGCATCATAATAATAGTCATAGTAACTCATGGATACTTGCTAATAATTCAATTGAATTATATAATTTTGTTTTTATTTATAAATTATATTTTATAATATTACCAACATTAATAATATATAATGGTACAATTGATAAGTAGTTTTTTGGATTTTAAATTAACATTATATATCAATAGATAAATTTTACTTTTATGAATATGTAATAATAACCTTTTTCAACTAATAATATATATTATATATATATATATATATATATATATATATATATATATTAAATTATATATTATATAGTATGTATTTACTACTAGCAGCACTTAATATTATTAATTTGTACTACATACACCTGATATACTAAATAATAAAACTTTATTTCAACATTTGTTGCAGAGGTACTGATTTATTCTTTAGGAAGATATCAGAGTTAATCGTAGAAGTATTTCCAAAAGAGCAAAAAGTAAATTAATAATATATACTTAATGAATCTAATTACTATAATATATTATAATAGGTATGTCGTATGTACACATTTATATAAAATAAAATGTGTTATTATTTATAGAGTGTTTATTTCATACCTTCAAAAACTGAAGACCAACATCAAGCTCATGCAAAGGGAAAACTAATAGAGCGTTGGAAAAATGTTGCACGCAAATTAAGATTGGCTGGGGCAATTTCTTGTGAAAGAAAAAAAACAGTTGTTACCCAAGCAACGACCTCCTCACTTCCAAATTTTTCAGGTAAATTTAATAATTCTAAAGATCTTAGGTATTCAAAATAATAATAAAGTCAATTGAAAACTTTTTTATTATAGAAGAAGTTAAATCTGCAACATACTGGCTTCAGACTGAAGGACTTAATTTTTCTAATCTCAATATCATAAAAGCAAAATGGCTAATAACATATGAAGTTAGAAAATATGATATTTTTGAATCGAATGAGCAGTCAATATCAGATATTTTCTTGAAATGGCCAATATTCCAGAGTCCTAAGGACTGGTATGTACTTTTATTTTTTAAATTTGTTTATTCAAATATGATAATTACTAATGTAAAATTGTTAAATTAATTATGTCATTAGGTTCTTGAAGACTTCAAAATTGGAAACCTAATAACTCATAAAATTACTGATGATAGGAACACTTACATGAATTCATGTGAACAATTTTTTTAACATTTGGTTATTATAAGAAGATCGTCCATAAAAGATAAATATGCACTAACACTATTAACAGAGTTAGATTCTACATACTTAAATGGAGGTGAGTCAAATGGATTTAATTTTAAAATGAGTAAAATATACCAATGAATGAAATATCTGTTAACCTATTTTATAAAACATTAAAAGTATAACAACTAGTATTTTTTTTTCAGATTTAAGATCCTCCATTGTAATTAGTTTATTACTAGTGCCATATCTTATCCCTACAAAAACGCAAATTAAAAATAATAATGTTAGTGTAAAAACCAAGTTTTGGAAGCCATTATTGGTAGAATCGGCTTCAGCATTTGCCATACATGTACAGGTAAGATATTTAAAATATAAATATAATTTAGTACCTATTGTTAAAATGCCCATTACAATCTAGCTATATTACATTTTTAAGTAATTGTTACTTACTTACTCACTTATCTAATATTCTCTTTTAACTTTTTCAATTTGCTTATTAATTAATCCAGGTATTCATTCTTTAGTTGTATATAATATTTAATTGTACAGTATTTTGATTTTAATTTAGTTGAATTAAAACTATAATACTTTAAGGATTATTCTTCTGGCATATACAATTTATTGTAAGTGTACTTTTTCTATTTTTTAAAATATGTTATTGTTCCAATTTTTTAGAATATGATAAAGTTTCATGAAGACTTCTGCCAAAGAGAAATAAAATACTTGCATCACGGAGCTACAATTCAACCATATATAGCATTTGTTGGGGAAGATATACAGTCAATATCATCTTGCTATGTTCGAGTGAATCAGAGGTGGTGCTTCGAGGATCCTTTAATTGCACTAGAGGTGTGCTTTAAAACATTTTTCGTATTCAACTGTAACTATCCAAAAGAGTGTTATGATTCATGGTTAATTGTTCAACAATTATTATTTCAACTACATACACCACACGACAAGTCAACATCAATAACAAAATCGGTATCAGGACAGTTTTAATAATTTAATTTTTTTTAATTCTTGTATTTAAAATTTTCAGTTTTAACGATAATTATTTGATTGACTTAAACATTTAATAATTTTTCATTTATATTTTGTAAGGTTTAAAATCTTCAGTTCATTCGTTATTTGAAAGTAAAGTTTTAAACATTTTTATAATGTATATTTGCTTCATATGTTCGTCATCATTTGCCACTATCGATCAACTTATTTTACATTTAAGACATTATCATAATTTAAACACCCAATCTGTATTTTACTGTAAGCAACAAGAGTGCGTCAGTCACTTCCAAGGATCAAAACAATTTAGACAACACCTAAATAGGGTACATTCTGTACTAAATATAAACCCTGCATTTTTAAACAATATTAATAGCCCTAGTAAAAATTTGAACATAATTTCATCGGCAGTATTGAATTTGAATGAATCCCAAGAACCTCAAGAAGTAGAGATTGTTGAGGAAGTTGGTTTAAATGAGAATTTTGAAAATATGGTCAGGAGTAGTGCTTTAAAGTTTATAACCAGTTTGAATACTAAACCTAATGTAACATCTTCTTTAATGCAAGAGATAGTAGAAAGAACGACTGAATTATTCTCATCCGGAATAATTTCACACTTAAAATCTAAAATTGAACCTTATTTGACAAGCTGTGATAACTCTCAACTAATTGAAATTCAAAATATGTTTCATATTTTAGAAACTCCATTTTTTAAACTTAAAACTGAGTATCAACGTATTAAATATTTTGAATCAAATAATGTATTCTTTAAACCAAAAACCATTGTATTAGGTTTTACAAAAGAGACTAAAATTGTGTCTGCTGTCGAGCGACAGGTTATGGTTCCGGTCCAAGGGCATTTATTTTGTATAAAGGAGAACCTTCAAAATTTTTTTGAATTGCCTGGTGTGTTTGATGTGGCTTACCAATATACGGTTTCATCTATGAACAATTCAAATTTGTCATCTTTTTTAAATGGATCTACATGGAAAAATATAATGAACAATTTCCCAGAAAAAATAATTTTCCCTATATTTCTATATTACGATGATGCTGAAATGGGTAATCCTCTCGGTTCTCATTCTGGTGTGCATAAAATAGGATGTATATATTATACTATACCTGCTCTGCCCCCTGAATATTTTTCATCTCTGGAAAACATTTTTCCTGCATTTTTATTTCATTCATCCGACAGAGGAGCACACAAATTTGACAATAAAACTATGTTTTCTGCCCTTATAAATACTCTTATTGATTTAGAAGAAAATGGTGTTACAATAGTAGTAAATTCTATCAGCACAAAAATATATTTTGTTCTTGATCTAATTCTAGGTGATAATTTAGGATTAAATTCAATGTTAGGCTTCGTACAAAGTTTTTCTGCAAATCATTATTGTCGAATATGCCGTTTACAAAAATGTGATCTTCAAACAATGTTAAAAGAGTCAGTTGAATCAATAAGAAATAAAAATAATTATGAATCAGATATCATGACAGCTAATGTTTCTGAAACTGGTATAAACGAGTGTTGTGCTTTCAATAAAATTCCAAACTATCATGTAACATTGAATAGTGTATGCGACTTTATGCACGATGTGTCAGAAGGCGTAGCAAGGTATGACATGGCTGTTATTATTAACTACTTAATAAATCATGATTATTTTTCGCTAGAAGATTTAAACCAAAGGATATTATTATTTGAATATGGAATGACTGAGAGTAAAAACAAACCACCTCCAATTAACAAAAATCACTTGGATAATAATTCTATTATTATGTCTGCGTCAGAAATGTTATGTTTTGTTAGATATTTTGGACTGATTGTTGGGGAGTTGATTCCATTAGAAATAGAAATTTGGAAACTTTATTTACATCTTAGAAAAATTATTGATATTTGTTGTGCTAGGGTTCTACAACCAGAATGTGCAACATTACTAGATAATTTAATTTCTGAATATAATCGTCTATATTTAAATTTCTCTAATAGTTTATTGAAACCTAAATTCCACATCCTAACCCACTATGGTCGTCTTCTTCTTCAAAATGGTCCAATCTCTCTTACATCTTCTTTAAGATTTGAAGCTAAACATAAAGTTTTAAAAGCATATTCAAATTCAATACCATGCCGTATAAATTTAGGACATACTCTATCTCATAAGCTGCAGTTACAAATGGTCGATAGGTTTTTAACTCAAAGAGGGTTACAACCTGACTTAAAAGTAGGTTCATGCATTAAAATAATAGAGTTCTCACAATGTGTATTAGATTTGTTACCTATAGAATTCAAACTAGACACAGTTTTAGTGTCTTCGATAGAATATAAAGGTGTTACTTTTAGACCTGCTATGTTAGTAATTGTTGGTATCAATTTAAATGGCTGTATATTTGGAAAAATTATTAATATTCTTATTAATAACTCAAGGACTCCATATTTAGTGTATGAACTTTATTTAACTGTCGGGTTTGATAACCATTTTCATGCATATGAAATAAAAAAAATATGATGAAAAAGAATTAAACATTATTGGCTGTTATATAAAAGATTTGTCTGACATTACTCCTACTGTTAGTAGAGTTCTTAGCAATGGTAAATTATATGCTACATTGAGATATGCACTATAATTTAAATTATCTTAAATTTATTTCTATATGCATTTATCATGAAGAAACTGCAGTATACATAATGCAATTAAATAACATAATTATTATGTATTATATTATATTTTATTTGTATTCATATTATGTTTCATTTCATGTATTAGTACTTTATTTATTTATTTATAATATATTATAAGCTATATTTTAAATAGTATGTTGAATAAAATTATTATATTTAAAAAAATCAAATGTCTTCCTATTTATTTTATTTACGTATGAAACTTCAACCAAATCAACTTTTCATAGATTTGTTGACACAACATAGTATGGTGTTATTTTTACATTAAAGTTCTTGGTGATTAACATTTAACAGGATTAATATAACATAGAAAAAATGTTATTTTAAGATTGAACCTATGTAGTTGTTTCAACTATTTATTTGGAATTCAAGTAATAAAAAATATTGGTGTTCATTTAACAACTAAAAATTAGTGGGTATAACTATGAAGTGGTGTTAAAGTGATATGGAATTGGTGTTCATTAAACACATACAAAATAGTTGATATAACTTTTAAATGGGGTTAATGTAAAATATAATTGGTGTTAATTTAACTACATTGAGTGATCAATAGTCTTTGGCTAGTACTACTCTTATGTTAACAAACTACTAATGTTATAATAACACCAATCGAGTCATAGCTCAAAAATAACGTGCAAATGTGTATGAGATTGACACCAGTTGTTGTTAGATCAAATACAGTTTTCTATGTGTGAATAGTCATTGGCGGAAATAAGGGGGGGAGAAATATCCAAAAATATACAGTTTTTTAGTTGTGTGGGATCACATTGATGTTAAAAATGTTAGCCCCCCCCCCGAAATTGTAATGGATTTCCGTTTATGTCAATATAGGTAGGTATAATAATATCCAATGCTTATACTAAAAAATATTTCAAATACTATATGTTTAAAATAGGTATTGAATTTTATGAGTAATTATGTATTATTTTACCTACCGATTACACGTATGATGTGATACACCTACCATTGTAATCATAAATAAATTATTTGTAGGTATATTAAATTTTTTAAAAAAAAATCGAAACCGTACTGACTCCAGTTTTTACCTATATTATTATAATACGAGTAAAAGTAGTATAGTATTATATAGTATTCTATATTTCTATATAGATATTCTGATTAATCTCTCGAGTAGTTCAATACAATTAGTCATAAAGATGATGCCTCCTTCGCGGTTTAGATTTAGGTACTCGTGCATGATGGTTGTTTGAAGTGTATTTTAACCGACGTTGCTTAGTAGACTTTTTCAAAACAATTTGTTTAGTGTCCTGCAAGTCATTTTGTTGGTTAACTGCGTCGCTCTGTTTGGAAACATTATTATGATTTTCTTTTTCGTTACATCCAATTATTTCAAATTTAAAACTGGGGTTGACTTTTTTTGGTTTGAGTTGACAGACATCCATAATTTTAGTTAATTGATCTAAATAGAATTCAGTTTGATCTTGATTCTCGGTGCGACCCAGAGTAATGGCCAATTTGATTTCATTACACACTAATTCGGCAAGGTTGAATACCTTGGACTGATCCTTTATAAATATTGACCTATGTTTCTGAAAAATATTACGGTTATGAAAAACTGTTATATTATAAGTTATAACTTTTTTAAGTCATACTTTTACCAAAATACTAAATAAATGTATTTAGATAAATTTAGCTATTGCACAACACTGACTACAGGAATACAATGTCTGGAATTTGGATATTGAATAGACATTTGTTAGGTAGGTAATAATAAATTAATATCGTGTTGTGAACAAATAATATTAAATTGAAATAAAATAATAATGAATATAATCTATAAATTTGGATCCATTTCTCACCGTAATAATATCGCTATTAGCAATGCTTTTTTCATTCATTAACATCATGAATTGTTCCACACCGGCTAGAAGATTTGAAGATTCTTTGAAAAGTATTGAGTAAGAACAAATTTGTGCCATTATTTGCCATCTACAAATTCCGTCATATTTTTCGAATAGATTAATTAAATCTAGTACCGGTTTACTACCATTTCCGTATTTTTCCATAACAAGCATTAAGTCATTTTCTAATAAGTCATAATCTTTGTCTTTTACATGATTTTCAATACTGGTATTTTTCAAATGACTTTTATTTTCGTTCTAGACATTAAAATAGGTATTAGATATATTATTTTATCATACATTTCCACAGTACACATTACACAGTAATACAGTATATTTAAACCTAATACCACTATATAATATTAAGAGGTTGCACACCCGCATGTGTTGCCTTCGTCTTACAAAATAATATGTATAACATAGAAAAAAACTTTTTTGTGAGGGACAAATTTACTCTCGCTGTATTAATAGTAAAATTACCAAAATTCCATAACGCATTGGGAAGAACTTTATCTGTATCGGACTGTTTTAATTTTTTTGATATCACTAACCAATATTTTTTAATAATTAAATGAAAAAAGGTGCTCTGCTGTACAGTAGGTTACAAGTGGGTCACTGTATAATGGATGGTTTTACATTTGAATTAAATGATATAATATCATTGTATAAGAAAAACGATTTTGAGCGGAGACGGTACCTATGTCAGTCTAGGTATAAGACATATTATATACTTAACTATGGTATTAAAAAAAATTGAACTATAATATAGGTACCTATAAGAGAGTACTAGCATATAAGTCTAATAGAACTGACGTCTCGCTGGAGCAGCTAGCCAGTGACTTTAATATAGTGTCGCTTAAAAATAGGAGAACATTTCATGATGTATCTTGGTTGTATAAACTACTTAACTCTCAAATAATCTGTCCAGAACTACTTAACCAAATACCTATAAATGTTCCTCAAACAAACACTCGTGTATCAAAAACGTTTTATATACCTACTTATCGTAATAATTATAGTCAATTCGCTCCGATCAATAGAATGCTAATATCTGGTAACTCAATAAATAATTTCGATTTTTTTCATGATAATCTAACCAGGTTGAAATCAATTTTATTTAAATGTTAAATGTACTATCAAGAACCTACTATTATGTATTCATTTTAAATACTATTATAATGTATAGCTATAAATAGATTAATATTAAGTTATTTGCTCTTGTATAATGTTTTATGTGTTATATATTTATATTTATAAAAAAAAAATAACTGTTCTGAGCGCAGTTGTGGGCGTATACAATTACAATTATATAATATTATATATTATATGTAATAAATAAATAAATAAAAAATAAATAATAAATTCCAAATTAATCATATCACAATATCCATTAGGTACTTATAACGCGTTATACATCAACAACAAACCCTGATACTATCATAGATATATAATAGTGTAGGTACCTACTTTAGAAGTTTCAAGTATCCACGAATAATATTATACAATCGCAACAAAATAACTAAAATACTAAAGTTTTTCTAGGTTTTTTTATGTAATTTCGTCCAAATTTGAACTTAAAATGACTATTAGAATAAACTGTGCTTATGTATTTTTTAGATTTTTTGGTAACAGAATTAACTACTTACGTGGAAACTTTTTATAAATTTTCAATCCTTAGATATAAAAGTTGGAAATTTTATAAATTTTCAACTACAAAATAATTATTCAATTTTAAATTTGATAAATTTTGTCAAAATTTGATCTTTAATGCTTATAAAAAAAATTGTGCCTATGTATTTTTAATATTTTTCAACTAATGTTGTAACAATCAATCAGGAGCCTTGTAACATTTTAGATTCTAAGTGGACCTAAACCAATATTGGTTTTACAATGATGTATTTTTGTTTGTGTTTGAAGACATTTTTTATTGAGCTTATACAACCTAAATATTATGCATAATTTTCTTTATTATAAGTATTGAGCTCAAATTTTGTATATTAGTATATTACCTACCTATTTAGTTGTTAAAATTTATAAAATTTAAATATTTAACAGGCTTGAAAATAGAACTTGAAATTCATCTTTAAAGTTATTCTTGAAGCAATTTAAAGATATCAAAAATACATAATAATATGCCCAACTTTTTATACGCGTTTGAAGATCAAACTTCGATAACATATAATATTTCAACACAAAATAATCAACATTATTATTATGATTTTAGTTATTTTGAAATCATTTAAAAATATTAACCGTAGGGTGTAGGGACATACAGGTTTGCCATGACGTTATTCATATTTTAGATACGGAATGAAATATTTAAAATAATTTTAAGCTATTTATACAATTATTATTATACTATGAACACACACCATTATAAGATATAATCGTAAAATTTAACAACAATAATAATATAATGCATGATAATATAATGATCGATGTTTTTAGAGTTTTGCAAAGATAGTGCCTAGCAAAGGTGTGCATTAACTTATTTAAAGTTAAAGTTAAGTTAAAAATTTAATTTTTTTTTTTTTAACTTTTTAACTTATTCAGTTAAAATTTGTGTAGTTGTAACTTAGATTTTTACAGTTAATTATCATTGTCGTATATTTAAGTTCATTTTATTTTCGTGTCATGCATAATCAACTAGACAATATACTGATTCGTTGAAACTTTTTCGATTTTGGTGATTAATTTTCGAATTATATTTTATAATAATCTATTTTTTACATAGTGTTAAACATCTTGGTAAATGTTTGTGTACAACAAAAAACTAGGGCAGTTTATGACTTAAAAATATTGTAAATTGAAAAAAAAATTAATTAAATTAAATTTTTTTTATCTGAGTTATGTTAATTTTATTTTCTATCTTAACTATAAACTTATCTAGTTAAATTTTTTTTTGTTATTTTTGAACTTAACTGAAGGCAATTTAATTGAATATAACTTAGCTTGCCACAGTTAATTATGTTCATTAACTTCCCCACCTTTGGTGCATAGACACCTATAGTTAACCTAATGTATTACCAATGGTAGTATAATATATTGTTAGAAATAGAGTGGTGTCACACCTCTCTCTCTCATCTCAGAATCGTTTCCCCTATAAACTTATGTATATTGATTTATAATTAAATTCAAATTTAACATATCCATTTCAGTGACCACCTGCCTAATTCCCCAGTTTTTAATATTAAAGTTATTTAGTAATAATTTGTTCTTACCATTTCTATACAAGTATTGACCAACTCTCTGAAGATTGCGATGCTTTTCTGAATCGCTCTAATCACAGTAAAGTCATGAAAAGCCATATTTACTGCTATTGATATAATTTGTTTAATGAGAAAAATGTCGTCTTGGGTTAAATATGGCAGTGTCATTAGAGATTTTGCACATTTAACAACTAAATGAGGATCTTCCGGTTCCATGCTTATGATGTCCCTGACCATTTAAAAAATATATTTAAAACAATTTTATAATATCAAAAATAATTAATGATTAACTTTGGTTAGATTACTTACTTGATTAATTCTATTATATTGAGAAAGTCTTTTTTGATTTTTTCCAATGCATTTTCATTTTCATTACTTTTACTTTTATTATTATCATGATGATAATGATAGAGTATTTTATTCGTCATCAAATGCATTCTGTGGAAGTTAAAATATGGATTTGGTTCATTTGATAAGAGAACTGCTTGCTGTATAGAATCAAACTCGTCTTCAGTAGGGCACGATATATTGGTATTCAGATATTGTCTTTGAGCAGTCATGGCTACTGAAAGATAATAATTCCACTGAACTGTGTCTGGGTCTAACTCACATGCTGTTTTTGCATACTGAACCACATTATGTAATGATTTACCACCAATTTCTAAACAAACTGCAGAATGCAAAGCATTAACTGCAGCTCTTGATTTCGAATCCAAACTGTTAAATCTTGTTATCATTTCAAACAACTGAAACAAACAGTTAGATCGATTGCAAAATTAGGTACCTACTTATATTAAGTTGATAATTGATAGCTTACTAGTTTACTAGTGTTCCTTCCCCCCTTTCAAAAAAAAAATAATAAGTTTTTGAAATAATGTAATTTAGAAAAAATTTTAAAAGGTAATAATGTTGTTCATATTTAGAAAAAATGTAGTTACCTATTTAACTAAAGTGTATATTTCACAAATATTTACATAGCATTACCTACTTGTAATTTGTATGAATTATAATTTTGATATACCCACTAAGTACCTACTATTACCTAGTAATATTATAGGGACTTTATAGTTTATACCTAACTATCGGTACTTTATAAATCCGTGTACACTAGATAATAGTAAAACGCGATGGTTGCATTCATGACAGCTAATTTTGTGATTGCTGAAGATACTGCTACCGAATTAAATTTATTAATATATCTATTTAGGTACCTATGTTATATTATTTATTTTGTTTAGTGTATAGGTAGGTAATAGGTAGTTGTTAATTGTTATACTATAAGTTTAACAACAATCCAAAGATAATTATTTGTATAAGTATGTATAGAACTGTATAAACATAGTATGCTTAACTAAGTCTTTGAACTTAGAGGGGGCTTGAGAGTTAGGTCACCTAAAATTATTTTAACAAACACTAATGTTAGAGACTTAGAGTATCATAAATGCCTTAAAATGCCTGTTATTAGGATTTTTTCCTCCGAGCTTCTACCTTTGCCTAAAAAAGTTATGTATACATACGCCATCTCTACTGATAGTCGATAATATTATAATAGGTAGGTATGTACCTAAATATATTATACAGATTACTATACTGAAATATTCGATTATATAATATGGATCAAGATATTACTATATTAGGTAATTACATCGTTATTACCAACATTTATAAATAACATTATTAATACATTCGAGGGTTAACAATTAATGTAATTTAATTTATTGAATCACTATCTATAGTTCCAACCAACTTTTATGTAGAGATTTGATAATAATCAATATATTACGATATACCTACAGTAAAATATTAGTGTTGACCACAATCTAACGTGAAGTGTTTTTCAATCGTGCAAATTCCAAGATATATGCTTATGTTTATTATTACCTGTGTAGTGTGTACAGCACTTAAATACCTAGTGTGATTGTGCAACTTTCAATTTTTTTTTAAATAATAATTAAGCTTTAGGCAATACACGATTTGTGTAAGCTACATATTATTAAATCCATGAATATTTATTTGTTTAATTTTATTTAAGAGGATCGTATGTCTTGTATTTTTCGTAAGTTTTAGACCAATAATGGTAAATTACACATACTTCCGAATGTTCTATTTTAATTTTTAATATATATGTATGAATTTGGAAAAATAACTAGGCTTTCTAGGAAGTCGATTTTCAATTTTCAATTTTAAAGGACCATACAATTTGGATATTTTTTTAAAAAATCTCACGAAATAATTGAATTACATTTGTATTTATTTTAGGCTTTTTGGGTTTTATATCAAAAAAGTGGTTCCTACAAAGCATAGTCTAGGAGCTTACAAATTCAACGCTTTTTTTCGAAATTACAATCATTTTTCAGGAAGTATGTTTAATTTACTACCGCATTTGGTAGTTTTTATAGGTGATGCATAGAAGAATATATTTTGTTTTTCTCGATTCATTGACATGTAAATATGAGAGCCGAGAGTGGCACACTAATGAATCATTAGTATTTAGTAATGATCATTTACTTCGCACACAACACTGCGTAACGAGTATAAGACATATAATTGCCTATACGCGACCCCTTATTAAATCACCGCCTTCAATCACCTTAAAATCATTATATTATATACATTATACATCTCAATAAAAATATAAAATAAAACAATTATTAATCTAAAACTACAGTTAGGTATGTAATATGTATATTATTTATATTATTTTTCAAATTATCTGTATAAGTTTAAAAAAAATAAATTTTTTAACTGGGTAATGCCCACTTTTGCTATAATGTATACATAATAATATGATGTTTAGTATTTTTTATCCTCTTAGTTTATTATTTGGCCAATAAATTAAAGTATTTTATGTAGTTGATTTGTGCATTCATTTTTGATTAAATATGGAATGAACAAAGTAAGAAGGAGGTATAAAATGTTTCTTACATTTTGAAATAGTTGATATAGTTAGGATATTATAGCCAAATAGATCATCTATACCAATATAAAAAGTAAATTTAGAAAAGTCTATACATAGTATATACAGTGAAACTTCCGTGTAACAAACTTCCAAAGTTCTATTTAACACATTTTTTGTTTAATGAAATATTTTTGAGAATCAAACCAAATTAGAACCAAATTTATTCAATTCTATTTAACAAAATTCTCAAAAATACGAATTTTTTTTAATGCTCCATGACACTTCGTAGTATGGAAGTTTCACTGTCATATGAATTTAAATATTTCTACATATTATAATATTATTTTTATAGTTGATAATATAATCGATGAATTTCGTTAGGTAATTAATTTCAAGTAGCTTTGAATGAATAATATTGTATCTTGTCCATATTCTAGAGTTCTAGATAGAAGTAGGTATTCGGAGAATACTTATATAAAAAATTATTATTATAAGCTATGAAGTTATTCCTAGAATACTTGAATACTGTTATTCAAAACTATTATAGGTATACTAATATAGTATGGTTAAGTTATTTTGTTGACGGAATACTAATTATTAATTACTTTGGTTGATGCATAGAGTTCTAAGCTTATATTATAATACTTGGAACCTATATACTTCATATTAACTTCGATTTTTCTATGAATATCGAGTAATTTTGGCTTACCTGTTGACATTGCGCTCTATTTACAGTGAACAATATATGACACAATGTAGACATAACGATATGCTTCAATCCATCTCTAATTGCCAAATAAGTCGGTTCATTTTTATCGTCTAATTTATCTAGCCATTCCCAGATATTTATTAGTTTATCGTGTGCTCTGTCTACTTTATTTGTTTTAAATAGTCCACAACTGGTTATAAGATTGCTTATGTACCTGGAAAAAAATGCATATAATATATAAATTTTATTTGTTTTTATTTTTATAAACATTATGCTACTACCTATATAGTTTTAAGTTAAATAATAGTAAAAAACCGGGCTGGATATACTGTTGGGCACTCATTTTGTTTCGCGTAACTTGACGTTGCAAATTGGAATGCGAGGTAGTATGTTGTGATATTAAATTCAAAAATAGCTATAACTAATAAAAGTTAAAAAAATGATTCTGATTGGAGATGAAATTGTTGCAGAAATTTTTCACATTTGTAATGGTTATTCTCATGCTCTTTAGATGAGAATATCGAATAATAAACCCTCCAAAGTGTACCTTATCAATTAGACAAGACATTTTACGACGTTCAGAGAAATCAGTCAACTCAAAAAAATTAATAATATAATATTGAATAGTGAACATAATTTATAATGAATCGTTGTAAAAACTAATGCCTTCTCTCAGAATTTCTGAAATACCTTATTTTTGTATTATTAAAATTAAATAAGTAAATCTAATGTAATATCTAATAAATAAAAATTTTTTTATATTATCTGCTTGAATGAATAGGTTAATCCCTATGTGCTACGACCCTATAGGTTAATTATTAAATATATTTTAGTAATTTAGAAACTGATAAGTGAGCTAAAACATTTAATAAAAATAACAATACATTTACGTAGGTATTCTTAAAACTAATACATACCCAACAAGAAATAATGAGATATTTTGAACTTGATGGAATAATACAAATTATGACTATTTAATAAATGCATATTATTTAACATTCAATAGATTATTTTAAAACAAAAATAAAAATATATTTACTTTTCAAATGAAAATCTGACTGAGGAAAGATTCATATTGTATTTGCCATATTTTTTTTCAATTCGATTAACGATGTTTTTTTTCCACACTTCAGGTTCAAAATTCCAAGTAAATGGACATTGCAACGTCTTTAAATGGTTTTCCGTAACTCTACTAAATCTACTATTAATAACGACAGAATCTTCTATTCTAGCTTCTAAATTACCAATCTGGCTGGTTTCGGCATTGTCATTTTCAATAACCACTTGGTCAGCCACAGCTGTTATTTCTGGAGTTAACTCTTTAAATTCATTGTAAGGATCAAGTATCGAAAAATATGCAAAATGTCTGTCCGTAACAAATACGTTGTCATTACATGCTTCCAAATCGTTAAAAACGTCCAATCTGGGTAGGAGTTCTTTAATAATTTCTTTTGAATTATTTACCTTCATGTAATTTTCATCAGATTTTATCGTCTTACTTCTTTTGTTTCTACTGCAGCTTTTAAAAAGTAACCAAATCATCTTTTATCAAATTACGTTAATTTAAATATATTTTACACATAAATTCACGATTATTACAATAATTATTTATTAACTATAATATTGATAGCGAAAGAGTAAAGACTTTATTTAAATAGTATGTTATTAATTTTTTTACAATGATAAAATGAAAATACTACTGTCAAATTGTCAAAATGAATTGTACCATTAATAAAATGTAACTTATAAACACAATTGTGCATCAATAACACAATTAAATATTATCTTTAAGTTTCTGTATAATAGGTATACTAAATAGATAATAGGTATGATGAGCTAATAACCTTGTAACATACAGAGTGTTCCACTTAGAAAACAAAAATTCTATAGGTAATAATATAAAGGTAATTCATAAACGTGGTATATTTCAATCAAGGATATAAAGTTAAATTAGGTGGGTATACTAGGTTAAGTTAAGCTCAATTGCAACTTAAACTAATGGCTTAAAACTAATATGATTGGAGTTTTAAGTACCTATTTTAATATTCATAAATAATTTTTAAATCGTACTGTAGACAATATTTTTATTGAATAATACAATACATTTCTTACTAAAATTATTATTATACAAAGATACCTATTATACCAATTCATCCGCCTTGTTTATTCAATTACTCATGTAGGTACCTATAGCTATACATATAGCTGGTATCATCAAAATATTTTTCTGTGGAGTAGGTATCCGAGTACTACCTATAGCTATTTGCATTAATTATATTATTAAAGAAATAGCCGGTCTTTGTAGAATTTTAATTTACTGACAACCTAACTATTATAAAGTAATAATCATAAAAAGTTATGACGTGAATATTAAAGAACAAAGCTCATTTAATATTTCTAATAATATCAAAATTTAACCAAAATAGGTATAGGACTATAGCGTATAGGTATATAGTATATATACAATTATAAAATATCATATAGGTCATTTATTTATTAGTTTAACTGTCCAAAATTTAAATTTAAATCCAAAATGTACTCTTGTCCAGTTATCTTGTATAGCAATATTTATAGTCTTATTAAAACAATTCATTAATTATAATTAAAAAAAAAATAGGTAGGTAGGTAGATACTTAAAATCACTATTTAAGAAAGTATTTAAATTTTTATAATAGATTTTATTGAACGATCTTTGTACCTATGTGGCTATGTCATACCTATGCTATTTTTTTTTATTTTCTATGAAATTATGATTCAACTCTAAACTGTTTAACATTATTTTAGATTCTGGGTGAAACGATGAATGTATTAATTTAACAGTGATGTGTGTTTTTTTTTTATTTTTTTTTTTGCGTCTGTCACGGTTTAGTGCAGTAAAACTGCTTAAATTTTTTTCAACAGTATCTTGTTCGATGGGAAAGTGAATCTAGTTGGTGCATTCGGGAGGTCAAATTTTAAAATTCCCAATAGTTTTCAAAAGCGACGGGAAAAACAACATAAAAATTAAGGAAAAATGGGAATTTTTACTTAAAATCGGTTTTCCACAAAATCGATTTTGGTTTATGGTGTAGCTCTAAAACAAATGAATGTACATGACATTTTCACTGGTTGTTTATACTTGCATTTTCTATACACTATACAATTTTCGAAATATTATGATTTGTTTTGAACTGTTTAGGAACATTTTCATTTTCCGTTTTTTTTTTTTAGTTTTTTTTTCTAAAAATATCAATAAAATTTTATTTGTTGGTTAAAAAACTTGAACATTTAATAGAAGGCTCCTAGTATATTGTTTCAAAGGCAGATGAAAAATATTAAAAATTCTTAGTCACAGTTTTTTTTTTTAAGTATTTAATGTTCAAAAATTGACAAAATATGGATAAATCACCAAAATTAGCAAATTATTTTGAGTTAAGAATTCGTAAAAATGAATAATAAATCTAAGATTTTAAAATGTAATACAAGATTCCTTATAAGATTTTCTACCTTTATCAAAAAAAAAAAAAATGTCGATAAGAAAGTCAAATTCAAATTTTTACAACATTGGACATTCAATCTTAATATTTTGACTCTTTTTGAGCTGTTTACAGACATTTTCAGTTTTGTATTTTTTTTGTTTTTTTTTCTATAAATATCAATTAAGTTTTATCTGTTGGGCCAAAAAGTGTAAAAATTTAATACAAGGCTCCTGATATATTCTCACAATATCAGTTGAAAAATATTAAAAATACATATGCACAATTTTTTTTATAAGCATTTAAAGATTGAATTTTGACAAAATTTATCAAATTGAAAATTGAATAATTATTTTGTAGTTAAAAATGTATAAAATGTTCAAATTTTATATTTAAGCATTGAAAATTTAAAACAAGATCCCACGTAAGTAGTTAATTTTGTTCCCAAAAAATCTAAAAAATACATAAGAACAGTTTATTTTTATAGTCATTTTAAGTTCAAATTTTAACGAAATTGCATAGTAAAAAACCTAGAATAACTATTTTAGTTATTTTGTTGTGATTGTAAATATTATTCGTGGGTACTTGAAACTTCTAAAGTAGGTACACTATTATATATCTATGATAGTATCAGTGTTTGTTGTTGATTGTTAACGGGTTATAAGTACCTAATAGAAAATGATTATTACCTATTATAGGCCAATTTTTTTTAATACCATAGATAAGTATATACTTTGTCTTATACCTAGACTGACATACCATCTCCTCTCAGAATCGTTTTTCTTATACAATGATATTATATAATTTAATTCAAATTTTATACCATCCATTAAACAGTGACCCACCTGTAACCTACTGTACAGCAGAGCACCTTTTTAGATTTTGACTTGAATTATTTACAAAATTATAATATATACCTTGGGGCTTAGACCAGTTAGACCTAAGTGCCTAATCTCATTACCTATCTAAATAAAATATCAAAAACCAAGGTATTGATTCGTAAATTACATAGACATATAGTATGAATGCTTAATGGTCAGTGCCGGCGCTAGATATTGCGGGGCCCTGGTCATAGGTAATAGCCTTTAGGTTCTCAGAGAGTAGTGAAATTTTAGCTTTTTTTTAAATCAGGATTTTAAAAAAGTACTGTTTTTATATATAATATAGGTAAATAATTAAATTTAAATAATGCTCTGTCAATTCTTAATGAATCAAGATATTTTAATGAAACAAAAATCAAATTAAAGCTTATTTTTATCTTTGTTATTCACTTGCCCCATATATAATTTTACTAATAGCAAAAACAATCCGATTTTGCACTTGCCCCATGAAAAGGGGCAAGTGTGACGTTTTAAAATTAAAAAAAAAAAAATTATTCTTAGGTGAGTGATAATACGAGTATAACTTTGTTGACTATAAATTCCAATTATGTATATCTAGAGGTGTTACATTATGGAAAAATAACAACTTTAAGTTAAAAACAAAAAAAGTATTGTCAAATTCAAAATTAACTTTTCATTTTTGCGTCACACTTACCCCACTATACCTTACCTACTTGAGTAAACGGAGACAACACATTCGAGTGAGATTCCTCCTGATGAAACCTCGCTCAGCACAGAATTATTGGCGTAGCGTGAGTTTCAGTTAAACCTTTGAGTGGAAAATCGTAGACTAATAAATTCATAAGGGCTGGTTATTTTATTAATTTACATTTATTTTAACAACTACATAAAATCATCAATTAAAAATAAATTAATTCATCAAAATGTTTGAATAAAATAATAAATTGTTTAATATCTAAGTACGCGACCGCTGCAGCCAGAATAATGCAATATACGACGGTAGACCACGGTATTCGTATCAAGATGATAATTAAAAATCACGGGGCCCTTTAACAAGCGCGGGGCCCTGGACAAATGTCCCATTTGTCCTCCCCTAGCGCCGGCACTGCTAATGGTTGAATTCTATGAAGTAGCTAGTCGATGTTAAGTAGGTAGTTTAATAAAATATTGTTTAAGTACATATCTTACATATAATCTAATGTGTCTTGACTGACTGACTGTCGTCTGATCAGTGGCGCCGAACCTATATAGTAAGGGTGGCGACCGCCACCCCTTTTAAATGGGTGGGTGGTGGCCGGTGGGTCCTGTTATGCAGGTGGGCAAATATCTAACAGAAGAAATTTGACAGCTAGATACTGAGTGTTCGATAGTAAATTAGTACTTGGAATCAAAAGTGTAACGACTGTAACGTCTATACACCGTGTATTCCTGTGTATTAATGAAGTAGGTAGTATATAGACGTATTCACTATATAGACGTATAGTGAACAGTTTAAATTGTGTTATCTACTATTTTTACATTATCAGTTAGTGGTTTTTAGTACTGTGAAGTGGCTATTTTAGCCAACTTTTTTCCTGTAAAAACCAATAATGATATAATAATTATATTGATATAATATATTGATATAAAATTATAAAAAGGTGCTCTGCTGTACAGTAGGTTACAAGTATGAAGTAGGCCACTGTATAATGGATAGTATTAAATTTTAATTCAATGATATAATATCATCGTATAAGAAAAACGATTCTGAGCGGAGACGGTATTGTGTCAGTCTAGGTATAAGACATAGTATATACTTATCTATCGTATCAAAAAAAATTTACTTAAAATAGGTACCTATAATAAATTCCAAATCAATCATATCATAATATCCATTAGGTACTTATAATGCGTTATACGTCAACAACAAACCCTGATACTATCATAGTCCATACTCCATAGATATATAATAGTGTACTTTAAAAGTTTCAAGTACCCACGAATAATATTACACAATCACAACAAAATAACTAAAATAGTTATTCTAGGTTTTTTTTATGTAATTTTGTCCAAAGTTGAATTTAAAATGACTATAAAAATTAACTGTGCTTATGTTTTTTTAGATTTTTTGGTAACAGAATTAACTACTTACGTGGAATCTTGTTTTAAATTTTCAATCCTTAGATATCTTTAGATAATATCTTATATTTTATATTATAAAAGTTGAACATTTTATACATTTTTAACTACAAAATAATTATTCAAT